GTCACCGAAAAGGAATTTATGTTAGCCTGTCCTTACCCTGCTGACGTGGTCCTGCTAATCCTCCTTCTTTTTATGCTTTGTCTGTTTTAATGTATTTTGTTGCACTTTGTTGCCATAATAAAGCCTTATACACACTTTGCTTTTGTGTAGTAGGCACCATGTTGAGATACGGCGAAGTCTTCCTGGACAACAATCGTGCAGTATTGCAATACCATCTTTTCTTTTGAAAATAATATCATAATTGATTTTAGGGAAAACACGAACAGCAAATGTCATCGCAGATTACCACCTGCCTTCACACAATTAACACCCAAACAAGACGATATGTAGTTGGAGTAATAGTTGACATTCTGATTTTCTGTGGACCATTTATCCAAAGAGAGCACTTTACTGATCGGCGTACGATGGCCGTTCTGTGAGGACCATTTAAACGCCCAAACTTGAACAACAACAACAACTAATCGCCATTTTTCCGTTGATACCGTGTTCTGTTTGTCCGTCGATTAATTATGTACCGATAAGATTAAATCTTGAACCGTCTGCCACATAAAAGGCACTATTGAAGCATCTGGATACCCTCGTGGAATAGCATTGGTCTAGATGCACTCGACTAGTGCGTCACTTTATGTGCCATAGTACACTGATAGCCATAATCTTACATTGCGCGCTCTCACACTGCCCTCAAACGCCACACACTGATTTGGTCAAAAACGAACCCCCCCCTCACAGTCTTTCGCTCCAGTTCTCGACTTCAGCCCACCAAAGAGTAAATGCAGTACTTGCAAGGGGATATGGTGGTTGGATGAGGTTAGGTACAAACATAGACAAAGCGTTTTATAACTTGTCCCTTTATTATTCGTCAAAATATTTGAACTCTTCCAAGTTTACTAATCCGTGGAAACATTCCAACCAAATAATTTATTTTTGCTTACATTCACCCAGCATTTTTGAAAATGTGATGAAAATTTCATCAAATTCGCAACCACTATTGATGAACGGAATTCATCTGGATACCGATCAAACGTTCTGCTTTTTTTCAACATAATCCTGCCGTCAATAACACTAAGATTGGTCTTCGATTGCCGTTCTCGAAGAGGTGCAAAACAACTTGGGTTGCTTTTTACAAACCTACATGTGGTACATGCCATGCATTTCCGTTGATCAGAAGTATTATATATATCCAATTGAAGAGACTTAAATAACACGAAATCACTTGGTCTTTGAAGCACCACACAATTGAAAGTCTATTTCCGCACGGATTCCCTTAAGATTACGATCCATTTTCAATAATCAAAACAGATCAGTGATATTATTTCATGGGAATGTGATGCACAATAATGAGCACGCGTTTAAAATTTCCTTGAGTCCCAGGGTTCGAGGTTTCAGCCTTGACGACATCGTTCAACTACTGTGGTAGGCAGTTAAGCCATTACTCAGCATTGAGAACTACAAACTTTCTCATATCACTTATTTTGGGTGTAAAATTGAAGCCCACACTTTCATAAAACTTAAGAACTATCTTTATTTCTCAGCATTGATTGTTGAAATAGATGAACCATTGGAGAAACAATCTAAGCAAGTAAACGATCGATTAATAGAGAAACCAGAACAAAATACGTCATGCGGGCACTGTCACACGTGTTTAAAAACCAAAATGTTTTTTTTTCAATGTCTTCCGTATTTCAAATCTTTCCGATCCTCATCGGGGTTCGATCGGGATCGATTCAACTATTTTCCCCCTAAGCATAACAATCCATAGCCAATTGTTCACTCGAGATATTTTCCTTACCATTTGTCTGTCACCTACGCCATTGGCCTAATCCGTCTGAACGTATCCCAAACGGCCTGAATGCTTTTGACCAATCAGAACACACGTTCAGATTGGGCTGTCTCAGATTACTAATCCCCCAGCCAAATCAGGCGAACGCATCGGCCAAATATGTAACTGTTCGGTCATTTATCGGGACCAAAATGTAAGAGCCAGATTTGGACGTTGACTCACAAGCGTGCTCTCAATTCGAGCTGCATATAAAGCGCAATGTTCCTATGCAGTCGCTTTCAGCATCACATTTGCAGTGTGAAATGCCCGTCGGAATGTGTTATTCATTCACTGGTTCTAAGTGCACTGCGAAGACAGCTCTGTACTTTTACTGTTTAATGCTACGATGTGTCACGTATGGGATGAATTTGATTCAGACACTGTTTGTTCCGGTTAAATCGGTTCCGGACAGACGGACTTACACGACTCCACTCACTTCTGTTCGTGTCCCGTCGGTACATGCTGAGACGAAACGGGTAGAGCTTGAAGCGGCAACAACAAGAACAACAAAGGAAACAAAAACAACAGCTCTGCCCAACGAGAAACACGTAATGATCAGTTATAGTCATCAGGATAAACATGTTGCATTGGGGATAGCTCAGCGACTGCGAGAGCATGACTTTAAAGTGAGTGACTTCCACCGGTTTCATACATCCGTTTTCGACCGATCGGGAAAAATTCGAGATCGATCGGTGATTGTTTTCTGTTTACCGTGTGGTTCAAATAAGATGATTTTTATCTGACTAATGCGGAGAAATTTAGCCAACGAGGTAAGATGCAATGCACCCAAGCCGGTCTCTGTTAAGTGCTTGCTAACGTGGGTGTTTTAAATGGAATACTTTGATGGTCAACACCGAGTATTAAACATGTTTCATGCCTCATTCGACTCACATACAGTAAAGTTGTTGGTGATCTCACGGACTCCCTCGGAGAAAGGATCCACTTAAATTTCACGAGCACCCTATTACGCAAGTGGTAACATTCGTGCATTTGGATGACCAGCAATCAGCAGCCCTAGGCATGCTATCATCTCTATTCGATGGCTGCATTTCATTTGTGCGTTCTGTTGTTATACTCTAAATTTAACTAGTAGGCGTTTTGCCTTCATCTATTTAGCCAGACTGGTAGTCGCAGGATGTTAAAAGGTTAATGAAAACGAAGGGCATGAGTAACGGGCGTTAATCATCCGAACTTCGATTTTATGTGTTGAAAACCTACCACTCGCGTGAACTTAGCCTTAATCCCTCACCTGAATAAGCAATCAACCCTTATATCCTGGAGATTTCATACAAAATCTAAAGCCAAAGTTAAAGTATTATTACGGGAAATACATACAACCGGTTGCGTTTCTGGTCCCATAGGATTCGGCACAGATGAATCGGTTCACAGTTCATACAAAGTAGGTGAATGTCACAATTTGTCCTTTTTCCGTGCACGTCTACAGATTTTGAAATGTATGACTTTTCAAAGCTTCATCCAGTTTGTGCTTGAATGAATCAATTGTGGGCGCAGAAACAACGTGTGATAGTAGAGAATTCCAAGTAATGCACACTCTGAGGGTGAATGAATGACGCCGGCATTTTTGGAACACTAATTTAAATGAGTGCCCCCACAGGTGAGTGTTGGGCGACAAGGAAAGGAGTAGACGATATGGGTGGTTTGGGTTCTGCATTATTTCTCCTCGAATGCGGCGATACTGTATGGAGTACAGTTGCAGTGCTTCCATTCTTTTCGCATAACTCTTGGAATGCAGTCCCTTGACCATTTTGGTGGACATTCTTTGTGGACGTTCCGGAAATTTCTGATTGCGCTGCAGCAATGGATTCCATGCTTGAATGGCGTACTCTATGTGGGGTCGAATGTAGGCTGATAACAATCGTGAGAACAGCGTAGGTTCAAATTTGCCAAATACTCGTTTTAGCAAACCAACATGTCTTACAGCGGTAGACAACGCCCGGTAGCAGTTTAAAGAACATCTCAGGTCGTCTTGAACAATGACGCCGAGATCCTTCTCATTCGAGACGCACGGAAGTTGTTGATCTCCCAGGATATACGGAAACCGAGATTTTGGGCGCTGGTTAAGATACATGACTCATGGTACGGATCTAATGTTACTTGGCCTAATCTAAAGCAAATAATTTCAGCGGATTAAATTAATATCCGTTTACTATAGAAATTCGGACAGAGCAAATGAACCGACCTGTGAACCGAACCAATTCATCGTGTTTGCGTTCACCTGAAGAAAATAACCACTATTACTCAACATTTCTCTGCGATTAATTAAAACATTGATGTACATACAATACAGTAATGTGTGTAGCTATTGCAAAAGACCAAACGCAAATATGAGATGGAGAACACATCCCACACTGATTTGAGCTCATCAAGTTTGGGGTGAAATGCATAATGACGATTACTAATGTTAGATTTCTAGCCACAAATGAAAGTTGTTTGTACAGAGCATGGTTTTAGAAGAACGTGGACAATGTTACCCTGCCTCTGAGGTATCACTGCTTTAGTCATGTCTAAGCACAACTTTTAATTTACCTAGGACAGCGCATATATATAAGCGTCTGTGTGTGTGTTTTGTGTGGTGATTGATCAAGCAAGGCAAAGTGCACACGTGATCTGATCGAGCACTGAAGCAGGGATCATTTAGGACAGTGATGCTCAAAAATAGGTCAGACGGGACGGAGCATTAGGAGGAGTCTACAATTCCATTAGTGGACCTTTTGGTTCGGGTTAAGGAGATACCTTGAAAATTACAAAACTTAATTATCAATGATGTAAAGCTCACCAAACTGGAGGTTAATTCCCATTGATGAAGTCTATATAAATAGTTATTTAGTATTTTTTTTATTACGTTCGATTGAAAAAACAGTATATGCTGCAAAACAAGTTGTAATCGGTATGACCAACTGTACATCCCGAAGCATGGTTCAACTCAGTGGATAGTATTGATTGTTCACGTTTGTAGGGGCTGTATGCCGATCGTGCTGGTACAATTGGCTACGCGGAACATACAAATGAATCATATCAGTTCCTTTAATCTGACCTCATAAACGTCCATTTTATTGAATAGATACATCCGATTTTTGGGCAAATTACAGGCCGTTTGTCAAACCTCAATTCATGCATTTAAACAGCTGGCCTGTAGGAGAAATTTATCGGGACTGTTTGAATGGCTTTTCATCCACAGGTATGGATCGATTTGGACAGCATGAGGTCCGTCGACGACCTGATGGACGGAATGGCTATGGCAGTGGAAAACGCATTTGTCGTCCTCATTCTATTCTCCAAGGCTTACAAGGACAGTTCAAACACACGCAGCGGTCAGTCGAGTATACTTGACAGCGTATCATGTGATTCGCATTTTGTAGCGTTATCACAATAATACAGATGGTTTTATCGATCAAAATCTTAGCAGTGTGTTGCTCTGCGATTTATTACTGATAGTAGATGAACATTTTGCAAGGTATAATACTTTGGAAAAGTTCCAATATTTGGTTACAGAAACGCGCTGAATCACTATAGTCTATTTGTTATATGTAGTTTCTCTTGAATGATGAGTTTTATCAGGTCGACATGCTTTTTAGAAATGTATGTTATAAACATCTACTGACGAATAATCACCACGAATTCATCTTTCAGAAGCCCAGTATGCATATCACATGAGAAAGCCACTTCTATTCCTTCGAGTTCAACCAGCCTATCGACCGGATGGTTGGCTTGGAATCATGTTGGGCGCCCGTATCTACTTGGACTTCTCGGGAAAATATCCATTTGAGAAAAAATTCGAAGAGCTCTTATTTTCTGTGCACAAGGCGGCAAATAGAGATCCAGAAATGATCGATAGTATCACAGCGGTGGATCGACCGAATAAATGTGTTGAACCGGTAGGTGGTCCGAAAATAGAGTAAGGGCAAACAACAAATTGGTCCTCTGTTACTTTCTCTCTATGTACAATGTGATTTCTTTTTGCATTTTACCTTTGTTTTCCTCTGCCCTCGGAATCCCTTGCATTTCCATACTGATTCCCGACTTGGTTGTTTCGCTACAATAAGTTTGCACTCTCCATCATTTATATTGATGTAAAAAGTAAAGTAAATGAATAAATAACGAGACAATATTTCCAAGAAGTAGACAATCGGTTTCGCAGTTAATAAAACACTCGTATTTCAAAATAGTTCTATTAATGGTGAGTACCAAATTTGAACTAGTCCATTGGATTGTTCACAGGTACCAGGCACCGTTGACGGTCTTCGGTGTGAATTTCACTCTTTGGTAGAACGTTGACTGCCCACTGACTGAATGCAATTATAAGCTATATAGAATTAACGATTTCCTAAGGAGTGAAATCCACACGGAAGACCATCAACAGGGCTTGGTACCTGTGAATAATCGGATGGACTAATCCAAATTTGATACTGAAAATGTCTTCAGCCATTCCCACATGTTGATTACCTCGGCCATATAGCACAGGATTACGGTTTGGAAGACAACCCGAAGGTTCACGAGTTGAGTCCGACGAGAACACTATACATACGCACCTCTGAAGAGTCCCAAACGGGACGAGACAGCTAGCTGTCCAGTGCCATGGTTAGTCATCAAAATATTTCCCTACTTCTATTAATTTATCTATGCGCTTTTACTGAGTNTTTATTCTTGTGATATACATCTAAACCCTCTAATTGACGTGTTTTCCGATCCGCACAGTCGAACTGTTGAGGTGTTTACACATAATTCTTCTTGAAGATGTTATTTTACCTATGATTTGACAGTATGTGTTGTGGTTCATTCTTTCAAACTTTTTGATGTACCACTTTCGTTCTTTTAGGAGTTGATTTAGCAATTGACTGTGCACTAAACAATGTAAAAGCGATTCTTCGAAAAAAATATAAAGTAGACATATTTTTGATTCTCAGTGATTGATCTTCCCAGCTCATCCTAACGAACAGACACTATTAAGCGTATTCTCCAACGAATGTTAGTCTTATTTTTTTAAACCCACTGTATAGATCCCACAGATGGTGCTCATCAGATCTCTAGCAGCCTCGGAAATAATTGTTTGCAGTTCAAAACCCCGGGACAACAGCAAGTAGAAAAATTAACCGGTTAAATTGAAACAGCCGGAAACGGCAGATCGTTTGTCGTAACGCGGGGCTTTTGAGCGGACAGAGAGAAGTGTGTTGATTCATAGCACTTGAAACTGAAGTGCGCAACAGACGCGGGCCAAACAATCGCGAAGTCAGTCTGGTATAATATAAAGTTAACGAGCTAATTCCTGGAAAATCTGTGGTTCGATTCATAAAATCCGATCAATAAAAATTTAACTGTCAATACCAAGTAGCGTTTGGCTAAATAAATAGAATCTATCAGAAGCAAGTGACCGATTTTGTGGACAATGCTACTCGTCCGGAGGTCCGTAGTCCATACAACGGCGTTAGGCTATCCCGATGCTCACTTTCATGATGCGAATTGAGCAAAATAATTTTCATTGAGACGGACATTTTAAAACAAGTCAATCTCGGAGACAGATCGCAAGAGCAATCCTAGAATCATCTTTGAGAGAATATTTTCTCAAACTGTTTCCATGGCATACAGCCTTGAACCGTTTCACGTAGTGACTGACAATACTGGAAAGGTTCCACTAAGTAAATAGTTCAAGAGAGAATACGGTCAAACAGGAGTCAATCACACTGAAAACAAATAGATTTTATAAAACACATTTTAAGGTTATCATTATCAGTAACGGGAACATGATTTAACTTGATATGTCCGTTATTCGTTTGACTCTCTCCCCGCCCCTCACCGCAGATTCAGTCAGAACCGAAACCAACGTCAGCGCCACCGGTGACCAGCACCGAAACTCCCGAACCACCGACGTACATAACGTGGGACGAAGAAGAGACGACTGCGTGGCTGAAGCGATCCAACGTGGAATGGTTAGTGTTAGGCGTGGACAGTATTTAAATGCGCGCTAGCCTAATGATTTATTCACATTGAACGTAAGCAGTATTCTGTAAAAAATCATAGCACCATGTATAACTAATCATCTTTGCCTCACACGATCAACTCTACTGGAACAAACATCATCATGCTCAGTACAACCAAAACCGTCATCATCATCAGTATCATGATGATGAAATGAATTACTTATTTGAAGTACACTGAAACGAATAGACAAGAATTGTCTATCTTGGTTTCCGTCATGATATATGCCAGAATTTCTAATCTTAAGGGTTGCATAATCAGCAAGATGAAAATGATTCCTTAATTTATTCAAACTAAAAACGGTATTACACCTTTTTCGGAAGGACATTTTATTCCCAACATCCTTTAGGAGGGGCATTATCATATTATTGGGCAATTGCTGGCGACCGGATTTGAGTAAAAGACCTCACTTCAAACAAAGTACAATTTGCTTTTGTAGGGATGAATTGCATAGTAACAAGAACCCATATCTCATTTACCAGAACTGATGACACAAACCCTCAGGTTTTGGACTGGTAAACCACATTAAGTCACACTGGAATAGATGAGATATTGAGTTCAGCATCCTGAGATCTTGGTGCATTCAACGGATGGACTCCATCAAAGATCCTCAACAGGAATGAAACTGGTTCATCGGGGCTCCGACTACTTTCAATTCCCAACGAAAACTCTGTATGTCATAACGGTACAGTTGAATAGTTGAAGAGGTTTTGAAGGTAATCGATTATGCAAAACTTCGCTACCATCAATAACTCCGTGACCTGAAATTTGGACTCCACCGCCAGAAATGAAAATTGTACCGAGCAGCAAACATTGTTACTTTTCTTTTTTGTCATACTGATTATCAACAAGATTAGGTGAGGGATGAGCAAAAAGAACCTTTATCGCAGATATCAAGTTATTGGGGTGGAAGCTGTTCTGAATAACTTCGCTCAAACCAAACAAGCTTTGCGATGCAACTGGCCAGTACCATCATTCAAATGTAATTGTTAAAGTGCGCTGCGCTAAATGCGAATCATTCTTAGCCTAATTATTTTTTATCTTGACTGATAATTATTAGCTCTTCACTCGGAGGCCTAGTCGTCGACTGAGTAAATTGAAACATAAATCTGAATTTAAAAAGCTAATATGTCCTTTGGTTCACAATGGGGTCAAATTCACTGATAACGTCGACATTTGAATCGACTTGGATCAATCATTTTGCTCAGCCTTAATGTAAGCTGAGCGACACAGTGGCCAAACGTACCTCTTTCAGTAGAGAGAGAGCTTAAGTTGAAACCACGACTTGGCTATTGGTTGTCAACTTTCAGTAATCATGTCCAATAAAGCGAAACTCAAATTTGATACTTTAGGTCTGAGTGAATTGCGGATTAGACATTTGGATGATATCTAAAGGCGGTCAGTCAGTGCTATTCATCCCACACCACTATTTGCAAGCTCCTCTGTGTCAAATAGAAAACAACTCGGGCATATCAGTTTCAAAATTTTCTTTTTACTTAACAACAGGCAGCGTATGACAGTACCTCACACAGTTTGCATTCGAACCTTCATTCGTGGTATCTTTCCACGGTCTCTCCAATTGCCCCTCAGTGTCATATTGCTCCCGTTCCCTTTGCAGGCACAGCGAAGAAGCACTGACCGGAGGTCATTTGTTGTTTCTCAGTAAACTGGCCAAAGACTCACCGGAGTTCTTTTACGAAACACTGAAGAATTTTGGCGGTTTATCCAACTTGACAATGCTGATGAATTTCACTACGGCATTGCATCAGCTGTCATCGTGAATGCTTGCGGGTGACAGAACTCTTTCATTATCCATCCACACATAACGCGAGGACACAACATCAATGGCATTTTCCCCTTAATAATGCAACACATCGTTTATATAAAATAATGCATACTCAGGCTCATTCACATGATCTCAATCGCCATCGAACTTTCAAAGAACAGAGATTTATTTGACCAGTGATCACTCACTTCATAGATATTTGTTTAGGTGCATTTTCTTCTGATCTGTCATTTTTTCTTTTTATATAGTGCTTTCTGGTCTCACCGCGAGAATACACATGTATTTTCATTGATATACAAAGGATTTATTGTGCAATTGCTACCGCAGAACAAAGTGCATGCTAAAAACGATTTGGTTCAAGAGAAAACACGAAGGCACGGGTTGCATTCCTGTGTGTAGTTTGCGCACAACCAGGTCGCTCCCCGCTAACCCGTTTGGGGACTGTTTGTGTCCCATTTAACTTAATTGAACGTGTGAGTTCTCACGCAATTGGCGGGCGCTGGATTACTTTTCTAAACGTACTGTGAACAAAACTGTTTGCATCTGACCTCAAAATGACTGGCTCGGCGAAACAGGAAAAAAATTAGTGAATATCAAGAAAAGAACCGGTAGAATTGCAGAGAAATTCAGCAGAGGTCCATGCACAATTTGTGAGTATTTGAACAGATCAGGAACCATGTTCTTTCCGTAGTGTTGTAGGGCAAGTGGAATTCAAGTTATATTATGGAATAAGAGTGACACTAGTTAGGATTGTCATGTAGAGTTTTAGTGTGATCTCGAAGGATTGTCTGTGTAAATGTTTCACATGCAAATAATCATGGTTCACACAGAAAGAACTTTAGTTTTCAGAGATAATCGATCGTTCTCAAAATGACCACAAATGTAACAGAAAAATTACGATCAAGAACAGGGAAAATAAATGAATGGACAGAGGGCTTCTGCCATAATCTAAGAGTAGTTTGAGAAAAGGGAAGTACCTTTGAAAAATCTTAAGGCTGTAACATCTGGTCAGACAGGGATGGGGTTATGCTGAACGTTCAGGCACTGGGATTCGAGTCAGTATATTCTAAAACCCTCGGTAGTGACTGTTCAAGACCTTGAGGTAGATGTCTCAGCAAACTTTAAACCAGCAATCCAGTATTGAAAAACACGGTCCAACTGTCGTCAATAGAGAGACGCACAACAGTGGAATCGCGATAGTTGGAAGGCTCACTGCCACTAGTCGCACCTTGACAACTGTGTGCAAGCGTGAATTCCCTTCATAGGCTAGGAAATCAACACACTGTAATAACTGCAGTGCCGCTTAACGAAACGGTTTCGTAAGCTTAATAAATTGACGATGGTGGCCCGGTGGTAACCCCGAGGTTCTGTGTTCGAATTCCATCTCCACCGCCTGACTTCTCCCATTCTGTGTGTGTTGAATGGCAGCCCTTTGGTTGGCCGCTTTCCTCTTCCTGAAATTTGTACATTTTTTATATTTAATAAAAGGAAGCAAAATGAAAAAGATGCCTTGCAGTCATGGTCTCTTCTTCCTGAGAAGGATTAGGCTGAGAGCAGATGTTATTAATTGCTATAATATTCTGAAGGCTCTCCTATTTGCATCACAAGTGTTCCTCAAACTGGGACCCTACAAGAAATCTCGGGGAACACGCGATAAATTTACCGAACGAAAGTGTATCCGCCTGAGTGCACATTTTTAACCAGGGAGGTAAATCACTAAAATCAACTTCCTGAAAAAATAGTGCTATCGATTAGACAACATACCTCAGTCATAGGTTTGACAAGGCTTGATCTAGGCCGTATTTTAAAAGAAGAGTGAGTCAGTGTACTTAGCCTGAATCGAGCTAACGATAGAAATGACAAACCTCGAACTACAAGCAACATGTTACTTTTATCCGTAACCACTTACCGTTTCTCTGTCCTTCACCTTTTTCTTTCTTCTCGTTGCCTTCCTCAATCTGCATGCTTTCGCTTACGTACTAATCTCAGTTTATCATCGTTGGTATTAATATAAGCTCTAGCACTAATGGACATTATGGTTATTCCACATGATTCTCTTAGCTGAGGTGCTGTACATTTACCCTATCCGTTGATACTAGCTCTGAACTCACTGCACCAGTGTCAATATTATGATGGTCTGTTAAAGGGGACAACCGTCCACTGGATTCCTTACACTAAGTTAGATGTAGTCCAGGAAGGAGCGCAAGACGTTGATCTTTCCTGATTCATCAACTCATCACATCTCCTACAGATTGCATTATTGCGGGTAATTGTCCTGGATTACGTTTCTCCTCTCGGCTCTTGTAACTTCGTTTTTCTCAGGGATAACCTTGTAGTTCTGCTTGCAGCTGACTTCGTACGCCTCTGCATGAAAACATGGGCTTTGAACACTTGATTGTGCTCAGTAGAACACTGTTCATCGCCTCAGAATTAGCTCCTTATTGTGTTCCCAGTCAGACATGACACCGGGAATAAACAGAACTTTTGATTTTAACGAAGGAATTTATATTAGTTAGGTATATAATGAAGGAAAAAAATGACATTCTCGCGTCACAATGACCGTATTTCATGTGCTTCCTACCGGCGCTTTTAGAGACGTGGCAAAGTAGGACTTTAGAGGCATTTTCTTCACAATAAATGGAATGAAAGCAGCAAACATTCGTAATTTGCAAGTGTTGGTTTTATGGTGATGTATCGTTTCTGCGGATCGTATTCATATTTGCGAATTTATCAATACTGTGCAACAATTACAGAACCAGGTCAGTTTAACTCCCCAGAATTAACGAAGGATATTTAAGGAATGACCAAAACGAATCTGCCTGATTGCGGAAAGTAGAGCACGTCTTGGAAAGTCATAATTGGCAAATGCACAGTCGAAGTTCACTGGGCCCGCCTTAGACTCATGGCTGTAAACAAGGTGTGGTTTCTTGCACGGGTTAGCTGGGCAAGCACCCGGTCTCTTGTTGCAGCTGCACCATTCGACCGATAGATGACTGAACCCGATCAGTCGTGTGATTTTCGGGCCGACACAGGAGGGGGATACGTTCCGAATCCGATGCTGCCTAAGTGTTGGTAGAGAATCACAACAGAATCAATTGTGGAACGGTGTGCCATGTGGGAAATTCGGAATGGAAAATGCTCAAGTGATTATGGCACTGGGCCAACGCTTGACTCGTCTAAGATACACGCACTATTTTTCGATGAGAATGATTGTGATTGGAGTGGTGGTAATCTTGATAATCAATTTGGGGCCAGGGTAAGAGAAGCGCTTGAAGCAGTCACTTTTGTGAGCATAGTTATGGTTCGAAATAGCGAATGCCTATAGCCTCATCGGTGGCACGACAGATTACGCTGAACGTGGATTCTGGTCTAATTTGATGGCTTGTATCCAATACGTAACAAAGAATACCGCTTTCTATGCTCCCTATGCTTTTTTGTCACAACCAGCATGAGTAGTGTTCCTTTGTCTGTTGGGATAGTTGCCTTACCGTGCGACCAGTGTACGTGGCATTACAAACGCAGCAAAAGGAGTGAATAACCACAGAAGTGGCCAGTATAGGTAGCCTATCTCTGTGGCTGGTTCGGATGATGTGACCATACTCGATAATCGAGCTACGNTACGTTGTAGGTCCGGTTCACTGCATGCGTCAGAAGTTTATTCAAGTGGTCCGGTATCTCATTGAGAAGATAGACGGATAAATAATTTCTTCTTCTGACCCTCATGAACCTGTTCGGATAGTGATCTTTCCTGAACGTTTCTCTCAATGAACCCTTAAGGGATAACCGTTTTCTGTGAGAACGTCTCTATTTATAGTTAGTTCTTCATGGAACACATCGTCAGAGCAGATCTTGCGCACTCGTGATGTGAGACTCTGAATCATATTTCTTTTCTGTCCGAGTTGTACGAAGCTGTAAAATTTTGTATACTATCCCGCAGTAAGGCGTATTCCTTTCGCATTGCCTCTGGACCACGAAAAAAAAATAGCTTGCAAGTCTACATTTGTAACTGTTTGTACTGAGCGCTGCATGTTACTGTTCGATAAATAGAACATTGCACCGATCTGTCACTGTGTGCCTTGTGAATAACTGGTGGATGCTGTTATCTCGGTGAATGAATGCTCATTATTTTCATCATCTTACAGGGTAATACATTGGAGCGAACTTCACTGATCGCTACCAAACTCATAATGCATACAAGGTCATGAGAATGTGTAAGGAGGATGGGGCTTATTTTTAGGCAACCTATGCTTCAAGTTCTTCTTCGTGAGAACGGAAGAACACAGCACCCGAAGCATATCATGAGTTATGACTCCGTCGTATGCCAAAGTCATTTCTTTTATTCCTCTGTCCTCTCTTCCGGGTGTTACTCGTCATACGGTCCTTAAAAACACAACATTTCCATAAACTGTACTCGTAATCGTATTTTATGGTGTTGATTTAATTTGATAGGATTTATCGCGAACTCATGGAAGAGAATAGAATACTCTTATAGCCGATAATTTGAAAGCAAGTCCGGAGGCAAACGATTGTTTTCGAATGATCTTACCTGTACAGATCTTATTAGTGGGGGCACATTTTCACGCACTATCGGAAGGTCATTCGGGATGGTCAGAGGGCGCGTGAGGATAAGCCCTGCATCAGGTAGCTACACTATTGTATTTTGGTTAAAATTTATTGTATTTTGAGTTTTGGTGATGGTGTTTTTATTGTGCTGACAATCCATTTGGCGTGTATGTACGTGGATGACTTGAACCAATCGCTTTTGTGCGCCAATCAGGGGTGCCAAAAAGCGGACGCTCATCGGTAATTTGTGTTTTTAAACACACCACCTTACAGGGCTCAAGGCACACAACGGCTAACCTGAAATGCGGACTCTGATTTCATTTGATGGCTTGTATCCCTTAAATGACCAAAATGGTGTTTTCCTGTTCCCTATGGCTTCTTGTCTTCTCCAATATTGACAGCGTTCCTTCATTCGTTTTGATAGTGGCCTCG